AAAGACAGCTTTTCCCAGACAGGTGGTATACCAGTAGCTTGTCAACCTGTCTTGGCCTTACACATGGCAACAGAGGGTGTTGTATTCTATCGGACTAGATGATTCAGTTTGGTTGTCTGGTGGTCAACTTCATTCTGAGGGTCTCTCAGACAGATCCTGGAAACAAGGCTGTATGGTGGTATCACAATATAACATTCAACGTGTAAAACCAGCCAGTTCTTCACCTATAGACCCTTTTCATAAATGGCTGCCTATTATAAATTCTTTTGTAAGTATTAAAATTAGCCTGACTAACCTCGTTCTTGAATTGATAATTCAAAAGAATTTTGCTCCCAAATGAGTTTAGTGAGGCTAATTTAAATGCATACAAAAGAATTTTAAATTGGCAGCCATTTATGGAAAGGGTCTATGGTATTACAGCTGCACCACACCAAAAGTAAATGAATCTGTATTTATTTAAAAATTATATTGTCGTGCCCATGAGGTCACTGTCATTAGTGTAATCTCCCCCACCTTCACAAACTAGGGATAATTACACTGTATCAAGCACAATAATTTGTAAGTTTTGTTTTTAATTTGCAGTACCTCTAGAATTGGTCCAAATGTAGGGTTGGCTGCTGCATTAGAGACTAAGATGTCAATACCTCCAAAATGATGCAGTGTCTGTAAAAAGGATTCAGGACCAGATCTATTAGACCATAAGCTACTGTACAAATAAAACACATGTTAAAAAATAGTACCTTAAATATGCCAACAGCTGTAGTTCAATACATCACTGGTGAAGTTCTCAGAAAATGATTTACTGAACATAAGCATATCTCAGAAAATGGCATGGAATTAAAATCAAATGATGAAATGTGATTTTTTTTTCAATCTGAATTCTTAAAACAGCATAAAGCAAAATTTTACAGAATAGATCATGGAGTAATATAAACACCACAATGTATAAACAAAGCCATCTAAAAATATTTGTGGAATGTGTAATGGCCTAATGGTTAGCTGGCTGGACTCCAAGTTTATCAAACAGTCCATCCAGGGGGGATTACCTGGGGGAGGGGGGGGGGGAACTTTGGGAATTTCTGGGTGGGGATGAGCCATTTGGACCCTGGAACCCTTAGCCTATACCAGAGCTAGTTCAGCTGAATTTTGCTACCCTATACTAGAGTAAACTCCCCAAATCCCCCCATCTATCAACACTGTTGAAGCTAATTTGCATAAATTTAAACCTGCCGATAAATTTGATTTTTTTATATTTTTGAGTAGCAATTCCTGGTTTCCTTAGTCTAGATAAAATCTTCACCCAGCTAGTCAGTTTTGTGAAAAATAATACCCTATTCTAGACCCAAACGCCTGATTTATATACCCTATCCTAGAGTAAACTGCTTGAAAACCATAACCTTCACAGCGGCACATACCTATATAGCCCATATATGGCAGTACCCCCTGGGGAGGATTACAAATACTGCTGTGGAAGCCAGGAATTAAAGCCCTAGCCTGATGGACAACTAGCCTTAGGCCCAGAATTTTTGTTACCTACCTTTCTTAAAGATTTTTACCTCTTTGATAAGATTCTTACGATGCTCAGGTTTTGCAACATGGCACACAACACCTTTTACGGTACAACCTGGTTCCTTCTCCAGCTGAACAACAGTGTCCATAACTTTATCTTGTTTACGACTGCTAACCATAACTTTGGCTCCATCTTGAGCAAGCTGTTTGGCAATTGCAAACCCTATCCTAAAAAGAAATTGTTCAGTATCACGTTAATTGTTCTCTTGTTCTCCAAAACTCCTGGGAAGCCCTCTCTTGTGAAAGTCTCGGAAGTTCCAAATAATTGGTACACCCAACTGACTTGAGCTGGGTGAGAATACCTTTAGCTGTCCCCACATTTCTTTACTTAAGCTTACATGCACTGTACTAAAAAAAAATAAGATCAAGAATCCAGATGGAAACGACGAAACCGTTCAAAATTATCACAAAATACAAGACACAGAGGCTTCCATTATTATTTTTAACCTACCCTTCTGTGGATGCCGTCACAATTGCAACTTTTCCTTCAAGTCTGCGACTAACAGCTGCAGTAAAACTCATTCTTATCGCTCTCAAAGTTCCATTACATAACTTCACACTCGAACTCCGCAGTGTCATCTTTCAGGCGTTCTTTACAGGTTTTCGCGTGGGACTGGAAATTAGCTCCCCCTACCGACCCCCGCGCCCCCCTACCCATCCCTTAACTCAGCCCTATGCTCTAAACGTCCTAAACCCTGCTTCCCGGGGGGTTACTCCCATGGGCTATATAGGTATGTGCGGC